AAACTATCTATGGTAGCATGTTCAATATAGGAATATATGAAAGGAAATAAAACATTTATCAGGCACCTTTAAAGGACCGCTATAGTGCCAGGTAAACATACTCGTTTTCCTGGCACTACAGTGCCCTGAGGGTGCCCCCACCCTCAGGGTCCCACTCCCGTCGGGCTGGATGGAGAGGAAGGGGTTAAACACTTACCTTTCTCCAGCACCGGGCTCCCTAGGTGCTGGAGACTCTCCTCCTCCTTTCCCCGTCATCAGCTGAATGCGCATGTGCGGCAAGAGCCTTTTTAATTTTAAATGCTTTCCAATGAGACAGCCACTAGAGGCTGGATTAACCCCAAAGTAAACAGCAGTTTCACAGCAGAAAGGGTTAATCCTAGGTGGACCTGGCACCCAGACCACTTAATTAAGCTGAAGTGGTCTGGGTGCCTATAGTGGTCCATTAAACGTTAGCAACCTATAAGTTTGATCTAAATATTTAAAGAGTCACCATTAAATATAAAAATGCTCCAAAAGATTTTAAGATTTCTCATCCCCCACCCCATGACTCCTTTCCTGCAACTGTCAAAAATGACCTACCAAGCACTCAATAAACCCTTCTCTAACAAACTATGTTATTCCCCTACTTTGTGTCACTATACTCCACTCCCCCTAGCATGTAAGCTCATTGAGCAGGGCCCTCAACCCCCTGTACGTCCAGTGGTCTGATCTCAATTATATGTCTGTTAGTCCACCCATTGTACAGCGCTACGGAATTTGTTGGCGCTATATAAATCATAAAATAATAATAATAATAATATATATTATATCAAATGCAATGCTCAAAGCTGCTAAGGAATGTTTAATATGCCAATTTACAATGGGTGTCCTCCATAAAATATGAGCAATCCAGAAAACCTAACAAATGGAAGATAATTATCTCTGCATAAAGGGTGCTTTTAGGCCACATGCAGATCACAGTGTGTCCTTAAACCATCTGACCTAAGGCTATCTGGGGGGATAAAAGGATTTTTTTTACCTGATAAACTCAGTTTTAATTACATTGACAAAAGTGTGTAGTGTGCAGTATTTGTCTCTGCTGTACACAGTAATGTTACTGAATTGTATGTAAGTAAAACTACAAAACACCTTATATGTATTTTATTTATTTTTTACTTTAGATTTAGTGCAACTTTTCTCAGAAATATAAAACAAAATGAAGGTATACTATAATCATGAGGTAAACTGAGTGCAAATGGTCGTTTCTAGATATCAGAAAATGTAAAAATGTCAGAGAGGAGACCACTGAGGTATTAACTCTAACCAGGATTGCCATATTCAACAAAAGATTATGCTTATGATAAATATATAGTATAATCTAGGATAAAGGCAATATATTGCATGTTTCCATATAATGTTAAATTATGCTCTCTAAAAGTCTGGGAAAGGCAATATATTAAGCTTCCCTTGTTTCCATGAAATTGGCTTAATCATGGAGCAGAGCTCTAAATAATGTTCTCCTGAGACCATAACCATAAACCAGAAGACGGGTCAAAAAAAAAAAAAAACAACAACAAAAAAAAAAACCTTTGATTCTGGGTCACAAAAAGCCAATAAAACAACATATTTGTTGCAAGCAATACTAGCATTTCATCTGTATCAGCATAAAATAGCATATTGCCATTTCAGAGATACTTATACAAAAATGCATTAGTATAACTATGCTTTGAATATACCAATGCCAGGTTTACCAGTTGCAGCCATGAACTCTGCATGTTTTATAAGGAGCCTTGACTAAAATAATTTCTACATCACAAGGATGTCAAACATGGGTCCTGAAAGTCTGTTCTATGATTCCAGCAGCCCTGAGAATGCTATAAATTTTATTACAGTATAATATATTATTGTGCTTATAGGATTATTTCCAAGCATTTGAACTTGATTTAAAGTTCATTGAAATAAAATGACAGTCCTATACAAGCAAACCAAGAAGCTTTCTCTATTAACACTAGTTTGTGAAATAATGTCATATTCATGTAAATTGGAAAATACCTAAAACCCCTCCCCTCCCCCTGCCCAATACAAATCAACGCAAAGAGGACTGGTTTGGGAACGACTATGTCTTTACCAACCCTTGTGAATATACAACTGTTATAAGGCTTCCATCTTCTACAAACCCCATACATATATGGGCAAAATTTTATTTTAATGGGAGGTACAATGCTGCACTAATAAAGTCCAGGAGAAAGTGTGCTACAGACTGCATTTCAGTTTTATATACAGATGTTCCTTTTTAAAAGAGGCTGCTGTATATACCCTGTATATGGTATTATAGCAATATACAATCTAGTATTGTACATTGCCCTGGCCATTTGCGAATCAGCATTTCTAAAAACAGATATAGAGGACTTACAGATACATGCTAGTACTATATTTGAAAACTTGTCTAGAGTTTACCAGTGATTAATTTCTTCCAAGAAACCATGTGGTTTACAAAAATCAGATTGGAAAACCCCTAGCACAATCATATGTTGGGTAATGTCAACTACATTAATTTTCACTTTCTTTTTATTGTAGGCTGCATGGGGAATTCTCTGACATAATAGCCATTATTAAAAAACATAAGCTAGGTGGATACCCATGTTGTTTGTCTCCTGTTTTTTTTGTTTTTTTTTTTAATTTACCATTATTACAGAGGCATATTTGTGTGTGGAATAGAAGAAAAGAAACAATATTAAAAATAATTTGCAACCTAGCACCACATTTATGTTCTCCTATTGTTGGGTTCCCATAAATCTCTCCTGGGAGGGATATATTACACAAACACACACAATGGCATGGGTAATAGACTCATAGGCCACATTACAATTTAAAATAAATAAGTAACAATTTGATGCTTTCACAAAAGTGGAAGCAGCAGATCTTAGGACATGTCTACAAGCAGGAGATATTTAGAGGAGATATAAAGATTTAAAATGTATTTATTAAAAAAAACCTGTGTCACTATGCTCTTGTTAATTGATCCCTGGAACACTCCTTTCAAACACTTGCTGTGCAACAGAACTCATAAGTATCAAGTCATGATTTAGTTTGGTAATACTTTTTCCTGCTGCTGTGGTAGTTGAATCTAGAGTGTTCTGAGAGGGTCATTCGGGCTAGTGGATCCTGCTCATATCATCTGGTAAGGTCTTCTCACTTTAGGTGAGCTACACATCAATTTACGTTGCATTACTGTACCATTGTTCTCATTCTTCATTATTGTCTTCATCATGACTACATTAACGTTTCGACTTATGATGCTATTATCAGGTCTCAAAATTCCCACTCGCTACTATTAACAAGTGAAAGTTTAGGCCTGGCAAGTAGAATTTTACTCCTGCTGAGTACAGTATGGCTTGCAGTGTCCATTTCATTTCATGGACACTGCAAGCCATGGCAATATAGCAATAGCATAAAACAAAGACTGCATAAAAACAATAGACTGTAAATGGAGACAATAGTTGTAGCTTCTATTTAAAGAGTGTGAGGCATTGCACATAACTAGTCCAATATAAACATAACCAAATTTGAATAAACCTCTACCAAGCTTAAAACAATACAGTCTGTCCTGAGAGACAAATTGTTATCATTGCACCTCCGTCCACCTCCAAGATTGGCGTTGATCTTACCCCTTAACTTAAAGTCTACCACAGATAAATGGGAGGGTGGGATGCCTGTCCTGGTAAGCTGAAGGAAAAAGTTATAGTCAGCCAAAAATGCTTCACGATTTTGATAAACTGATCTGATCATAGCATATTCACACCATTTTTGAGGTAAATATCCACTAAAATAAGCTCAATGCCTGTCTCTACCTAAACTACCTGACCTAAAATTTACCCCACTGGTACCACGTCCAGAAGGACAGTTAGAGCGCTGGCTATAATGCTAATGCTTGGCAATGGTGAGTAACTTTTAAGGCCTGGCTACGAAATACTTCAAATTTTCAGCCATGCTATTGCGGTGATGCAGTCAAAAAGGTACAATGCCATTGCAGCGCCATTTACAATAGTGTATGTCATTATACCACTGAGGACAGCAGTGTCTGCTGGGTAATCCCACATTCTTGGAGTGTGGAGGTATTCAGAAGTACCCCCAAACCTCATGAACACTACAGATGTTGTGGGCTGTAAATACCCTAAGTGGTAGCTATAGTACACATCATCTCCATTGCAGGCACACACTATCAGTATTTGCCCCCTTAACCATAATAATAGCTGTGATTGTAGCCGTGACATTAGCTCTATTATGAATGGAACTGTAATAATGGTGGGATTTTACAAACACTGTGATATAACAATGTTGCTCAAACAATAGTTACATTTAAACATATATGCTCTCTCTCTCTCCTTACTATTCCTGCTTCTACATTTTTATGAATCTGTAAAATAAGAACATAAGGAGAGGTTAGCGAAGGTTTTTTTTCAGGGGCACCCATCATAGCACGTTTCTAAACCCCGAGTGTGATTGATTAATCAGAAGAAAGAGTTACAGTTTGCAAGGATTTTTTGTTTTTCTGGCCCTCCTAAAATGACAGCCCTAGTTTCACACAAAGATAAATACATGCATACCCTGGCACATATACAGACACACACACAGATACTGATATATGGAGCAGGAAGTTTCCTCAGCTGTGGAATGTATCCCATAACCTCCCATTCTGACCCCAGCAAGAAACATGCTGATTACACCAAGTTAACTCATAGAACGCCAGGAAGCTTGGATGATACATTGTTGTGGAATGTTTTACACATTCCCGTGTTAGTCAAAAGATCACAGATTTCGAGACAATATATGTGCTTTAATATACTATACGAAAAATACCATGCTCATTGCTGTCATTCCTAATATTATTATTATTATTTTTTTTTTACAAGAGTTACCATCCCTGCTTGGGGGTTACTCCATTTACAGACCTTATTTTCAGTTGAGTTATTTGCAGTCATTAAAATAGATGAGTATTAGATTTAAATCTCAGACTGTAACGGGAATATATTAAAGGGAAATTAAAATTAGTACATATACAGTAATAGCTGAACAGCTCTGCCATTTATATAGTGATGTTAACTCCCCTACGTGCGGTCTGTCGTTCGCACACATGCTCATTTTACCTTCTTCTGTGTGGTGATCACTGACCATATCTTACATTCTTTCTACCAACTAAACAGCAATAGCTAACCTGGGCCCCACACGTTTATGAACTACAGTTCCCATGATGCTCAGCCAACCTTATGGTTACAGGAACATAGCTCGCATATTTGTGGAGCCAGAATTGGCCATGTAAAAACTACAGTGGGCAGGATCCCCATGATCCATCCTGGTGTGTTTATAAAGGGGGCAGAGTTACCCCAAACCACCCCTACCTCGGAGTACAGTGTAACCATCTCATCATGTGGGCAGCAGATGGGTTAAAGCAGAGTTGCTGATCTCTGTGGGGTAACTGGTAATAGGGTGGGGTGAATATAATCTGCATATGGGGTGACCAGCCCCCCGCCATGTTGCTTTAACCCTCCACTGCCCCTGGACATTCTATCCCTGGAATGCAGTGACTGCCCGCATGTTACCGAGTAATTCCTCCATTCCACGGCCCTACGTCACGTACACAGCTCCCCACCGAGCTCTAACTGGGAACTGCCCCCTGCGCCTCTCCTATTGGCTGACCCAACCCTCCCTTGCTATCAGCTGATCTCTGATTGGCTAACACTTTCCCCACACAATATATATTGAAGAATAGTGAGCGGAGCGCAGATCAGACTGTGTGAGCAGAGTAAGCGCTGCGTTAGTGAGAGAGAGCAGAGTAACCCGACAGCGGCACCTAGCGGTCACTACATCGGCAGACATGGGCAGCCTGGAGTCTAAGAACAAGAGCACCGACACCGCCGCTAATAACAAGGAGGCAGAACAACAGGTAAGACTCGGACTGGCTGCTGCTTCTAGCCAGGTGATGGGGCCGACTGTCTATAGCTGGGGCTGGCTGACATGTATTCACACAGCCCTAGTGCACGTTTATTACCAGCGATATCACCTAACCTGTACCAGGTTGTATTAGAATTAACACTGTTATTGGCCATATAAAGATGACTGTTTTATTTATATTGGTGACACCGGATTGAAAAGGGGGTGTGTGTGTGTGTTTTATATGTATTTAATTGTATCTCAGGCTGGGTGAGGTCACAGGAGGCTGCTGGATTTTGATGTTCTAGCTAGCTCTTTGTATTGAGAAGGTAGCTGACCAGGGGTGGGGTGCGAAATGAGGTTTATTCTCCCTCTCTCCCCCCATTTATAGTTGGGTGCCATGTCGTGACCTGTGTATATATATATCTATATTTATTTGTATAATTAATACTGTCCCCCTTATTACAGGAGAATGGACATGTGAAATCTAACGGGGATGCCCCCACCAAGGAGAATGGTGATCCCGCTGCATCCAATGGCTCCGCAGAGCCTGCCTCAGAGGAGATCATATCTGCCGAAAATGCTGACTCGGCCGCCCCTGCTGCCGCTGACCCTAAAGCTGAGGAGCCCCCGGGCAAGCAAGCCAAGAAGAAGCGATTCTCCTTCAAGAAGCAGTTCAAGCTGCCATTCCGTAATAAGACTAAAAAGGAATCTCCTGCTGCAGAAGAGCCCCCTGCTGGCGAGGCTGCGGCATCACCCAAGGAGGAGGAAGAGAGCAGCCCTACCGTGGAAAGCAAAGAAGAGCCGGTGGTAGTGGAGACTGCAGCCACTCAGGAACAATCCACTCCTGAGGCTGAGGTTCCATCCAGCGAACCTGCTGCTCCTCCTGCTCAGCCTGAGCCAGCTGTGACCACACCTGAGGAAGAGCCCAAACCGGTGGAATCTGCTCCCACCACAGAACCTGCCACCGAGCCAACCAAGGAGGAGTAGTACCTTGACACCCTCCTAAAAATGGACTTCTGTGCATTGAGCCTCCCATTTACCTCTCCCTTTACTCACCACACTCCTGGGTTCTGTATCTACTCCACGGTGGGTGTGAGCAGAACTGAAATATGTGCCAAATGTTGCCTTCCTGCCCCTCTGAACACACTATCCAACTTCATTCAGAGGAGAAAGCAGAAACTCAAGTGTTGTCCTTCTGGTGCAGACCCAATGAACTGTATGGTACAGACTGCACTGCTCCATCCTATAGACTTGTATTAAGCCTACCTCCCTATGGCTGTTTTAGACAAAGACAAGAGCTTTAGATGGCTGGAGTAACCAGGGAAATGGGGGGTCTTGCACTTGAGCATCTACTTTTGAACTATTGCTGGACTCAAAACGTCTGATCTGGTGGAGCTAATCCCATTCAAAGTGACTCGCACAGCTGACTGCTGCTCACAGGCAACTTCCCTTGTGTGTTTACAGTATAGTGTTTCCCCCTACTTGGTGTGGATGTCCGGCATTGTAACACTGCATCAGTGACCAGAGGTGTGGCAGTGTGGTGCTGGCTGTTGTGAACTGAGAGAATGTGTATCTTTGTAAATATATATATTTTTCTTTTAAGGTCAGGTTCTGTGAAGTCACTTTCTAACTCCTTAAGTAGTACTGGTTGTATGTGTCATCATGTTTTAAAAATAAATTAACCCCTTTATACCAATGTGTCTCTAAACTTATTGTTGTACTTGCAGATGTGGGAGAGTCTGAAATTGAGTGTTCTTTAATCCTTTTTGGGGAGCAGAGAAATGAGTGACTAATGGTCATTTTAGCTGTACTTGATTTGTGGAGTACAGCTAGGGGGCACTTGCATTAAATGTCAAATTACTACTCCTTAAACCGGGATAGAAACCTGTAACTTTATCAACACTTGAAAGCAATTCCAGTGTAATCTTGTTCTTAATGGGTGTATGAAATCTAGTTTTAGCAGAAGACCCTTTAAAGGGACACACCAGTGCCAGGACTGCAGGTCCCCTCTCCCATCCCTGGTTGCTGAAGGGTTACAACTTTCGAAAGGGGAAAAAGATCCAACTCTGCTACCTCAGTTTCATTATTTTCGTCTGAATTATCCATTTTGGATTTTAATTCCTTGTTTAGTAAATAAACTAAAGGACATATCCATTTGTTAAGCATATGCTAGGCTAGGGTGTTCTCTTTAATACTATGGAAAAATACACAAAGAGGCACTCTATGCAGCACAACTACAGATGAGTCGCCTATATCTCAAGTTTACCACACTGTTCCCCATGATCCATAGGATGGAGTCACAGTGACAACGACCTAGAGGAGGTAATGCCTTCCATTGGTTTTTCCAAATGACTTTCTGTGGCCGTACCTGCCCTTAAAGAGGTATTTTATATGCTTGAAATGTCCAGTTGTATAATGCATTTTGGGCTGGCTATACAACTAGCTGCAAAGTTTCCTTTCAGAGTTCACATACAAGCGCTTTTAAAGACAAGAAACATAATTGTATCTATTCCCAGTATTTTATTCAGCACCAAGCCCATTACGCTCCTAACCCAGTACTGCCAACCTGGGTGTCGTTCATTAGCTACACATACCAAGCTAACCATATCCACCACTCAGTGTGAACAAAACAGACAAGTGTTTTGTTTAGTAACACCTCCAAAAGGGTGGGTCTCCAGGGAAAAAAAGATTAGTTTTACATTTAGCCAAGAAACTGTACCAGTACACTGATTATAACTACCACTTCTTTGACTGTCTTTTTTTTAAAAAAAAAAAAGGGGAGGAGGGGGGGGGGAGAGAGATTTGACACTCCCCATATGGAGAAAAATTTATCGATGTATTTGGCATGTTAGTGGAAGGTTTTGCGGGATCTCCTAGATCAATGGTTTAAAACCTCGAGCTAACTCAAAGTGAGTTGCGAACACCTCAAATTCAGGTTTAAACTCTGGCTTTCAAATGTCCTGAAAATGAGAATTTAGATTCCCATCTAGCAATTATCTCTGGAACTGGAATGTAAGTGGACAAGTCAACTTGACAGATCCTGGCAAAAAAAAAAAAGCAAATACTGCACAAATGACAGTGGCACTTTAAATATGCAGTCTAATAACATCTTACTGTAATGGTTATGGTTCTACTAGGCTGCAGACATCTCCTGGGTCAAAACACTGAGTTGTTAGACAAAAACTGGGGGTTTCTGAGAAACCTGTGGCATGGCTCCAATCCCACATCTGGATCCACTTCATCCATATTTGGATGGAAATGATAGGAGGTTAAAGGGACACTTCAGGTACTCTAACATATTTTTCCTCAAGCTGTTTTCATGAATGGGGAGCTACCGATTAGCTTTGAGTGTCAACTTTCGCTCTCAGCCAATTAGCAATGCCCCTGTCTGAAGCTTACGATTCAGAGAGAAGCTAAAGGGCTCTGCCTTCAAAAACTTTGGGGTTAAGTTTAGGGAGCTGCTGGCACCATAACTCCATGAAGTTGTCATCGTGCCTGGAGTGTTGCTTTAAGTCAATTTTTAAATCTTCAAACTCCATCCTATGAAAACCCACTTCTAAATTGATCTTTAACTTTAGGCAAAATTTGAGATAGTAAACAAAAAATTATTCTCACAGGTAGGTAAACGGTAACATGATAAAGCAGTCCCTAGGGCTATTCCTTCACAACACTGATGCATGTCTGAGGGTTAAAGTTTGGCACGGATTACAAGGAGGGTGTAAAGCTGCCCACCACCTCATTCTATACCATGCTGTGGAATGTGGGACCCTATAACCAGCTATGACCTTTTATTTTGCTGACATCTTTAAAATTGCTATTTTGTAGGGCACAGATGGCTCATTTTGTGTCTGAGCTCCTAGTAGATAAAGATAGTCCATAACTTCCAAAAGTTTGCTAAGGTTGTAGTGACATACATAAAGCATTTAAAGGTGGGATCATCACATGCCCTATATAGTGTCATGAGCATGCCCAATACCCCTAGTACTAAGCGCAATTTCACGGTTATATTCTGTGGTAGAATAGAAGAGGGATAGCTAGATCCCGTGGCACTAACTGCAAAACTCCTCACCTTTGGAGCTCAGTAACATGACACTCACATTGCAAAATCAGTCCCTAAGTAACAGCTGGAATACATTTTCAAGAAAGCGATCTTCTTTAACCCTTTAAGGACACAACATGTGTGACATGTCATGATTCCCTTTTATTCCAGTTTATAAAATGAAACGCTCATCCTTACCTTTAGTATACAACAGGATTATTCAGCCATACACATACACCTTGGGTCAGACAGTGTTGGATAACAAACACTTAAGTCTCTATAATCTGCTCTACTTCTCTCCCTGCACATTGCAGTGACATCATCAGATCAACTAAGTTTAAAATTCAAACACTGTCTGACTGAAGGTGCATGTACACGGCTGAATTATTATTTATATAGCGCCATCAGATTCCATAGCGCTGTACAATGGGTGGACTAACAGACATGTAATTGCAACCGGACAACTGGACGTACAGGAACAGAGAGGTGGAGGGCCCTGCTCAATGAGCTTACATTCTAGAAGGAATGATCCTGTCATATACTAAAGGATGGGATGAGATTTTCTCATTTTTAAAAAAAAAAATTAACACATAACCTATTTCCTTTCAAAACTTGATGGCAGGATCATTATTAAAAATAAAAAAGTGTTGAGGTGACAGTTGTCCTTTAAGTGCATATTTGCCACTAATGCACTGGAGTAGAATTGTTGATTCAAGCATACATTTAATAAAAAATGATTACAGGTCAAAATTAAACGGCACCAGTCTCCTAAAATCCAACTGCTGATCAGAATGGGAATTTGTCAGGTAATGTCACAAAAAGTTGCTCTGAAGCTTAATTTCTGACCATTATGTATAACTGGAATTAGAGAGCACACCAATTTTATATTTAAGTAGGGAAGCTGAAAATGCTACACGGATCAAATCCACCGTTGAAAAGGCTTAAGTCATCAAGAGGAAGCACATTCCTTTTCGGGTCATAGCCCATGACAGGCAAAGAACAGGATACAGCTGAACCATTGTGAAAGCCTGCAATAGGGTCTTCCTTACAAACCTCAACCGAAGGTCCACAGTTAACATTTTGCGTGTACAGACAGTGCTTTTGGAAGGAAGGTGCTGAGGGCAGCATCTCCTTCCTGCACTTACTCACTTTTATTGTTTAAAGGGATAGAGTTGGAACATCCAAATTTCTAACCATTGTCCTCCCTACTGAAAGTAAGAGGAAAGGTTACATACTTCCATATATCACGATGAACAATATTCTTAAGCCACTGGGATCACGACTACTCTTTCAGCATGTATGTAACATTGTTTCCATAGAGAGAGAGAGATAATTAATAGGAGGGGTGATCAATAGGTCTGTTTTCTTAGTTATAGATAACAGGTTGGATTACATTTTCTGTGTTACATGGATAATCAACTGAAAATGTTAAATATATAAAGTAAAGAGTATTGGGTAAGATTAAAAGTAATTGTATTTATTCAAGTATAAAATGGAATTTAATTCCTGGCACTTTTCTACATACAAGATAAACCGTCTTATTGGAGAGTAGGAAACACTCCTAAAGTTTACATTAAAAAAAAAAGAACCAAAATACAACTTCGTATTACCTACATAAGAATATGCTAAACATTAAACATTTAGACTGATCAATGGTAGAAATCATTATTCTGTCACTTGTGTCTCAAAGTGATGTAAATAACAAAAATTCAAACTTTATATAGCAAATGAAGGCTGAATTATGGATTACATTCAAACTATAGCCAGATACAGATGAAAATTTCACCACAAAAATACCAAAACACATATCTATGCAAATGTGTTTTCCATTAGTATGTGTATTGTGAAAAATTGCTAAAAGAATTTCAAACATGGCTACATTTTTCCCATAATATTTGGTTAGTATACTGGCTTTAAATGTAAATACAACTATGTAAAGCATTCAAAAACCTTTACATGTACGCACAGTACAAGTTGCCTTTAAATAATCTCAGAAACAGTACTGCCATCTGGTGGATTTAACAGATAGTGATTAGATCTCAGGCTTTATTTGTATTTATAAAACTCCACACATGATCCATGGGAAAGTTCTAGAAAACATTTTGTATTTGAAATATAATTATTCATGGAAATCAAAACAAAATTGTAATTTTTTTTTTTAATTTGAGCTCTATAAAACAGATAAGTCAATGATAGTGAATCTTTTTGCTCCTGAGCACCCAAACTGCAACTGGAAACCGTTTTTATTTTTAAGTGCCAATGCTGCAATTAAACATAAAGTTACGCTCTGTTTGAGGGGTGTGTTGGGTGTTTATTTTAACAGCATTAATAAAATCCACTGAAGTTGATAATAAATCCTTGCCGTTACAGTGGTCTTTGTGATTCTCCACCCGGCGCAGACCACATTAACCACTCTTTCTGGACAAAGCACAGCCTGGAATGCCCAATGACTTTGCTAACTCCTTAATTCTATGCTGAAATCACAAGCAATTAATATGTACTTCACCAGCTGACCAACAGGGACTTTTAGTTTTTAAAAAAAAAAAAAAATATATTAAATTTTGATGGGGGCAGCATTTTCTTTAGATACTGTGCCACCTGCCAGTGTGCCTTAAGGCAGTTGCCTTCCCCCACATTACACAAAACATGGCAAACCACAGCCTTGTGCAGAAGCAGAGAGGCTCCTGCTTGCCTTTTGTTGAATAGGTTTGCCCTCAATAATATAGGTGCTGCTGTGTCGTCCAGAGCAATGAGAACATAACTTCTAGCACTCTGCTTAGACTTATTGTGGAGGAGTGGATATTCATTTTCACATTGGTCATGGTTTCCTCAAAGGTTTGTGTTGACATACATGTTCTTAACCCAGCTCTTTTAGTAGGTCCACACACATCAAAGACTGGGCACAACCAGATCTCTGACTGGTATTAAAAAAAAAAAAAAAAAAAAAAACATTCCTGATACATAATATCACCAAATCAAGGGAGCCTGACTGTGGGCATAAAGAAGTAGATATGGTCAGGAGGGGACTGAAATATAAAATATGATTGTGTGTTGGTGCAAGTAAGGAGGGAATAGGGTTGCAGGAATGGTATATCATTTTATTTATGAAGGGCCAAGCTATTGCACAACATTGTACAGTGTTTAATAAAAACACAAGTAATGACAAAATGGAGCACACAATGTGACGAGGAGAACCCTATGCAAACTCACACGTTTGGTGCCATTTCTTAAATAGAAAAGAAAAGGTTTTGCTCCTTTTAGTTCATAACAATGTATAACGAATATCAGTCTACACATGACAAGACTGCCCATAAAGACGTGGCTAGTATACACACGACCCCACTTCTTTTTATGCCGTATCAATTGCAGATGTTCTCTTATTGTAAGTAAATGAAACTGTAGACACATGCAAAACAGCAAAGGAACATGAATTCTGACTATATCAATATAATAGATAATGGACGGACAAGCCTTACTTTGTAAATATTTAAAAACTTACCAAGAAGGGTTTATTAACCATGTTATAAATTGCTAGGAGTAGCACTAGCATGTCTGTGTGGAACCTTACCATAGAGTGATGGCCTGTCCACCTTCTACATCCTCCGTGACAATGTAAATTGTTTTTGAAAGGGATTGTGAAAAATTAAATGCACAGCCAAATGGTGGAATGTCTTACATCAGACTTAATAGTTACTTTGAGGTATAAATACTACCAAAACATGAGAGATTAAGAAATAGTATTCCTTGCTGGAAAATATTTTGTTCTAGAGCAACTTGAAATATGCAAGCAGTAATATTTGAAAAGTAAAGTGACACGGAATAGCAACAGGACCTGACTGCAGCTACAGATTTTTCTTTTAAATGTTAGGAAAAAAAATAGTTCAGTTTAGGAAACTGCAGACAACCAAAAATTCCAAAATAGCTCTAGCTTACACAAACACTTGTTTTACTAGTCAGATAAATGACTATATTGAGTACACACAGAAACCATGCACATACAAAGAGTTTTGATGGATGTAGGTCAATGTTTTTCACTGTAGCTGCCTACTTTAAAAAAAGAGGGGAAGCAAAAAGGTCACAAAGCACAGATGTATAGATGTAACAACTGTAAGACGTTGGATCTTCCTGTATAGTGAAGAACAGGTGGTATGTATTATACGCACACACTTACGCTTTACAGTCTTGGTTAGGCAATCCGATATTATGAGTGCAGCAAAATGTCAACTTGGGTTGATCTTGGCACACATCTTTTAAAAGCCAACCATGAACTTAGACTCCTATTTACTGCTTTACTTGATATATATTAAATACTGTCCCTATTATTCTTGAGGTCTGAAAGTACATGTGTACACAATTAACACATTAACATTATTGCAGTACAATACTACACATTATAATTGGTTAATTTAAGCACAATGTCTGTTGTATAACTTTTTATTACAAAGCTGCTACACAAATGAACCATCAAGGAAAACCATCCCCCCCACCCCGCCAAAAAAATATATCATGGACATAAAAACCCTACCTCTTTATCCCTCAACAAATCCTTTCACTCCCCTTGTAAGATATGTAGAAATCAAAATTGCATCCCCCACCCCATGACGAAACTGCTGAACAGACTTCCACACCTCCTCTCATTGTTTACATCTGTTTCATGACATGTGAGGAGTTAGCAGCATCACCCCAATAGGGAATCCCTGAAAGGTTATGGGGAATGGGGACCTGCATTCCCCCTAACCTGCGAGGATATGGTTATCCCCCAAATGGAAGACGGCCAAGTCCCCCCTCCCTCTGACCGCCTGGATCCTGAGCACAAGATGTATTTATTCCTCCCATCTATGAAAGCAGAGCTGTCTGAACACCAGGAGTGTGTTTTTCACCGGGCAGGTAGGGATATACCCATAAATAAATTGTACCACAGTTTGTTACAGAGGCACATTAAGAAGTGGCCAAATTAAAAGGTGTTTGAATATACTCGTATTAAAAAGTGGCGAAGCAGGGAAACTTCTATTGGAGAGCAAGATTTGCAGGATATAACAGTCCCCCTCTCCCACCCACTAATAAAAACAAAACCAGAAATAAAAAATAAAAATCTCCTTCTAGTATTATCAATCTTTATTCGTCCCTCCTCCTGCAGCCTCTTGGAGAGAAATAATTTAGCCGGTCCGGGTCTTTATATTTTATATAAGAGTTTCTGTACAAATAATATATAAAATATAAAACCATGAGGAGCACCTGGTCGTGGGAATACTTTCACAAAAAAAAAAAAGAGAGAAAGGGGGCATCAGGCTGATTTGGTCTCTTCTTTTACCCTGTAGGATGATTTGAGGAAAGATGGTCTTGTCAGCAATGGTGTCATGAACCACAGGAAAAACAAAACATATCCAGCTTGCAAGTTCAACACTGGGAACCAAAAAGCACATTTTATTTTATTACCGTTTGGCCTCAGTCTTCTCATCCTTAAGCTTCTCCTCCTCTTTACCATCTGAAAAAAAAAGTATAGTTTATTAGAAGAAAACCAGACTGTGCTGTGTCCCTGCAATCAGTCACTCAAATAGCAAATGAGTTCCATTATCATTTAATTGAAATATCGTTATATCACTTATAGGTACAAACAAAAATAAATTTGGAATCAAGTGAGACTTCCTCCAATACACATTTTGCTCAACATCAATTGCTCTCGCTACAGTGTGACTGTGGTATCATCTAATTTGTGTGTAAATTATAGTTTGTTTTTTTCTCATCATATCTTGGAGAAAAAATAAATAATAATAAAAAAATAAGTCAGTGTTTATTTCCACTGAGGTACGACCACTCAGTTTATGGTCTCTCAGTGACCCTACTTATGTATGTATTCTGTGGCACTGCCTCATGTGTCATCCTTATTGAAGAATGTTTCACTGCGCCATTTCAAGGTTCTTTTCAACACCAATTTCATTCCCTTTCATAGCACCGCTTTTGCATCATGTCCACGCATATTAAAGTCGACTGCAAATCCTACAGTGGTTACTATACATTTGCTAGAAAATCTGCAAACACAACAAAAATAGGAGCACAGGTTGTATGTACCCTGAAAGGTAACCTTTACACTAACAAGGATAATTGGCCAGGACTAAAAGGGATTACAGTGATGGACCTGTGACCGAGATGCAGAAATAGATAGTTACCTTTTTTGTCTTCTACATCTTTCTCCTCCTCTGTTTTGACACGTTTTGCTTTTTTGAAATTGCTCACATTTCTTCTGCCACCTTCTCCCTCATCCTCAGAATCTGAAAACTCCTCATCACATGCAATCCGCTTATCTGATGAACGAACTGAAAAGACAAAAGAATAAGTAAGTAACTTGTATGGTACCAGGCTGCAAGCACACGTCTTTGCTCTACCCCATGGATTGTTTCTTACTGGAAATTCGTTTATCAGGGTCATCGTCATCCTCATCTCCACTGTCATCATGTACAGAATCCTCAGGGATTGCCTGCATCTGGACTCCAGGTGCATGTGGGAGCATGCGCAAGTTCTCAAACAAACGTTGCCTGAAAGACAAAGAAACACGATGAGTCTGAGCCCACAACAGATTTACAGCTGGCACTAAAATTTAATCAGCAGCTCCCATCTCCATATACTTACTTGATCTTTTCTAGATATTCGTTCGTATTCTGGTTGGTCATATTTGATGGACTGATGTGTAACTTGAAGTCTGGTCCAAAGTATTCAAAGTAATCATTATATGGCAGTTCTAAGAACAAAAAAAAAGGTAAAGCACAAAATTAAACAATTGATATATGAATGCTAAAAGACTCTAATGTGATTATAACAGTCCAAGTATTTGAGGAAGAACGATTTGAAGCATATTTTACTGATAATTTACCAAGATGTGTGATCAGGAATTTGAGTATCCAGACAAAGAGCAGTTTGGAAGAAAGCATGGAAGTTATTAATTGAAAATTGAAGTGTCTTTTGTGGCACTACATTATTAGCTCAATCTCAGTTTAGTTTACTACCTTATCCTCAAATGAAAAAGTGGTTTTGCTCTGCTTAAAAAAAATAAAAATAAATAAAAAGACCATCTGCACAATACACTACAGAGAACTTTAACTTCAAGTCTTACACAAGTGACTTTGTATTAGGTCTACTTATCAAATTAGGAGAGATATAGGGGTAGACTCACCATTGGGGATCTCTGTATCCAATGCCACAGCGGTTTCATACGTCCAACAACGAGCCACATTTCGGATTGTATAACCTCCCCCACCCAACATTAGCAGAGGAAGGTTGAAGGTCTTGATGAATTCCACACACTTGGCATGACCTAAGAATAAATTAAGGCTCATGAGAAAATCTTAGAATAGAACGCTTTTAGAACACCATTATAAAAAAATAAATTTCCTTTTAACACTGTAATAAGACAGTATCACCATGAGAAAGGGGAATTAACCAATACATAGTGATTATTGCTTTCAGGAAAATTAGTCAAGAGAAATTAAAATATGCTGTAAATAAAATGGCACAGAGAGAATATAGAGGGCAGATAAACAAATTGGGTTAAATCGTTTAAAGACTTTAAAAAAAAAAAAAAAAGTTAGAGCATGAGAAGGAGTTTCCCCTTGTTACAGTTCTTTTCAGCTTGAAAATAAACAGACCAGGAATAACATACTTAGCATAGTATACAGACTATGCAGTGCTCTCATATTTACCTGTGTGTGGACTTGAGAAAGGGCTCTTTTGTACTGAGAATTTGTCACATATGTCAAGTCAATTCTCAAATCACCGTTTAGTTAATAGACCCACCATGCCTACTTTCCCATAATCAATATACAAGCAGTTCCCTGTAATTTACCTTTGATGGTCAAATTGAAGCAGCCAAGTCTGTCACCAGATAAGGAGTCAGCCCCACACTGCAGAACCACGGCACTGGGCTGATACATCTCCATTACTTTTGACATCACCTGCCAAACAAAAACTTTTATGAGACGTGTACAACAGAGCACTTCACATTCTTTCCGTACTGAAGGGAACTTACCGGTTTAAATATGGCTTCGTAGGATTCATCATCAATTCCATCCCTTAAGGGGTAGTTTACTGCATAGTATTTTCCCTTCCCAGCTCCTATATCCTAAAGACAGAAGAATGAGAAGAAACATATCACTATAAAAACAATAATTTGAGCCTAACCAGGAATTTCTTACAGTTTAAAATAAATTAAAATAACGTCAGAAACAGAATAAAAAAAGGTTACAATGACAATTTAAAGTAGGAGGGATAATTTTATTTCCCATTGGAAAGGGATTTTGATTCTTTTCTGGGCTCAGAGTCCCCTCAAAAACCAAGTAACATGCTACTGATACTTTTTGTAAATGTATCAATATACTGAATGCAAAGAAGAAAAAATAAAAATAAAAATCTACAAAATCATTTTGTATATTATGAATCAAAATTAGATTTCCTTTCAACACCCCAAAATCTTACTCACCCTCAGGTCTCCAGTGCCAGGAAAATATTCGCCATACTTGTGAAAAGAGACCGTCATGACTCTGTCAGTTGTGTAGAATGCTTCCTCAACGCCATCACCATGGTGAATGTCGATATCAATATACAGAACCCGTTGGTGATACCTGTAAGAGAGGTAAACAAGGACATTAGAAAAGAAAGAAACTAGGACAAATGAATGTTGTGTCACAGCAAAGGCTGGAAAATACATGGTATATACATACTTCAGCAGTTCCAGGATAGCAAGGACAATGTCATTCACATAACAGAATCCAGAAGCTTCTGATTTCTTGGCATGGTGAAGGCCACCTGCCCAGTTCACTGCAATGTCTGTCTGCTGTTTGTTCAGTTTAACAGAACTTGCTGCAAACATAAGAAATTAAATATGTTAGAATACATGAGAGGACTCGGCCTCCAAATATTTTTTCCCCCATAACAGGCAAATATTGGATCTCAAATGCAGAGCAGTGTCTTTTGAATTTATGAAGGATGAAGAAATTATTTTGATGTAAAAAAGGGAATTAAGATGTCCCTCAGATAGCAGGGAATAGCTGCTCATTCCCTACCAGTAAATATTGCACAGAAGGATAACAGGGGTGTCAAATAGACCAATTTTACATTTATGATGAACAATATAGCAATAAAGCTATGTGAAGGTTGAGGGTAATCAAGGCCCTACATGTTTAAAGGCAGAATAAATTAAAGAACAAATGTAAAAAACAAAAAATATTACAAATAATTTTGTGTGTGTAAGTTTCCAAATCTATCAGACCAACATAATAAAACTTTGATTTAGGCAAAAAATTTCACTGAACAGATACTCACCCACAGAGCCCCCTGCTGACAATTGGCAGAATTCAAATAAGCCGTCAAATACAGGACAGTCCTCTCCAACATTAACTGAGGAAAGAAACATGTGTAAATAGGAATCTATAGCTTTTTCGCTTTCAGGCAGACTTAACTTTCCAACACATACTGAAGAATCATAAACGTTATCCATCTATACTCACATCTTTGCATCTGCTTGCTGTATTCTGACATGTTGTCTGGCCGGATTGAACGTAGAAATTTGATGTAATCATCACTGTGATATTTTGTCATCTCTTCTGCATTTGCTTTGTGAGGTCTCTGTGGTAAGGGTACAGATGTTTGTTATTAGTGAATAATGTTAACCAGCCAATTCAAATGTCAAAGTTATTTATTTTGACTAAGTTTAAATATAAAAAAACACTGCCATCCCTTCCCATCCCTTCTGGGCTGGCTTGTGACAATGCCAAAAGAGGAGTTCCTACAGAAACACTACACATGCAGACATCAAGTACCACTTGAAAAAAATAAATAAAAATAAAGTGTTAATGGGTGGCATGGAGTAATCATTTAAAATGTATACATTGTGCTGTAAAAATCATATGAATGTACAAATAGAATATAAAAAGTACATGAAGCTGGCTTCCTTTGCATCTATGGTGAACACTGAACAGTCACATAGTCAACCTTCAAATGCTTACTGAAACTTTCAAAAATAGCTATATTTGCTACATACCAAGCATTTACCCAATGTTGAAAACAATAGAGGATGGACATTCATTTGTGTTTTCCCTAAGTCAGTGGCATAGAGAAGTGTAATAAATTACATATTTGTACACCTGCTAAAATGTGTCAATGCATTAGGTGCATAACACCTAGTATTTTTTTTTTTATGCAACTCTAAAATCTTCACTGAAAATACCAATCTAAACATTTAAAATGAACTCCGTATATTTCCATTTACTATGTGTGCCATATAGGCAATGTGTGTGCCATAGATACAAACAAAACAATCCATGCACTTGTGGCAAAAAACAAAAAAGTTAAGTGTGCCACCCCCTAGCTTGTAATGGCTGCATTTGACCTCATGTTTTCTTCGTAATTCTTGGCAGAATTTCCATCATTGGTAGATTCACAAGCATGATGAGAACAAAAACAGTGGCCTATATATGTCCATTCAGACAACCAATGCCAGTGAAATCTTTTACAAATGTCAGTAGAATGAAATTCCAACTTATAAGGTTCTTACATGAAGTATATTATTTCCCCTGTCCCTTTACTTACGTAGATCTCCATTTTGCGGTACAGGCCATAGTTAAGAAGTAAGTTGTGCGTCATACGGATTCTATGTGGTTTCATGGGATGTCCCTGTCCATAATAATAGTTTCCTACATCACCTGCAATAAATAGAGCTCATTAAAATGGTTTTTTTTGCATATAAAAGTATAGAGTGTGTAATATATATATATATATATATATATATATATATATATATATATATATATATATATATATATATATATATATATATATATATATATACACACACACACACACACACATACATACACACATACAAATATCATAAGGGCAAGCATTAGGCTGCTAGAGTAGGACCTGCCAAGAATGGGGTACATTGACGTTGTGGCAGGCTTATGCAATATATGATCATATAATGTAACTAAACCCCCATTATTTTTTTGCCTAGGTGAGGTGTTTTTAAATAAAAAACTATTACAATCTCTAAGATTTTGAAAGCATTGTTTAGTGAATAAGCAAGTGCACTGGATTCTGTATATTTTGGCCCCAGCAGCACCCTATAATGTATGCATGTTTAGGTGAGCGCAGCCCTCTTGGTTTTGTGTGTAATATATATACATTGACAACGAGGTTTAATAAATACATCAGTGTGTTTTGTATTAATAAATACATCAGTGTGTTTTGTGTGTGTGGATTTTTTTGTGGCAGTAGCATGTGCAATTTATTGTAACCATTGATAAAGTCTACCTGCCAATCAATATATATAAAAAAAGCTGATATCCTTGCACTCAGGCTGTATTCAATATGTAAGGGCCGGGTGCTTTAAGCCAAAAGCCAAATAATGTACACATGTATAGAATAGCTTGCACTCACGGTCTTTAAGTTGAAAAAAAAAAAATCGCTTTATTCAAAGCATATCATATAATCATCGCACCTGTGATGATTATATGATATGCTTTGAATAAAGCGATTTTTTTCAACTTAAAGACCGTGAGTGCAAGCTATTCTATACATACACACATACATATATACATACACACATACACACTTTGAAAAAACAAAAACAAAAAAACCAGCCATGCTTGACACTTTTTTTTAAATCAAAAAGGAGATTCTACCACTGAGTAAGTTTTCCTTCTAACTAGGGATCGACCGATTATCTGTTTTACCGATATTCGGTATTTTCGGCCAATAGAGAGGGGTGGAGGGGAGGGGGCAGCAGGCGCTTACTTACATTCCCAGCAGCTCCCTTTGTAAATCTTGTGAGTCCCGCGGCCGCAGAGTGTTACCACGGGTTACCATGGCAACGCTCAGCACGGCACACAGACCACGAGATTTACACAGGGAGCTGAAGTAAAGGTAAGTAAGCGCTTGCTGCCGGCCCTCCCACTGCTCAATACATGCCACTGGACCACCGGGGAATGACATATCCCCCCTCCCTGGCCTAAGTAACAAGCAGGGGAGGGAGAGAATAATAAAAACAAATATTTTACAAAAAAAAAATCCATCCCTTCAGAAACACACCCTGCATTCACTAAATACACACACACACTCTACATTCACTAAATACACACACACACACACCCTGCATTCACTAAATACACACACACTACACAAACAAACACAGCTCCCCTGTCTAAACACACTGCATCCACTACATGTGGCATGTATATTTTGTGCATTTAACTTTAGAAATAGTTTATTTTTTCAAAATGGTAAATGTACAGAATATCGGCAAGTTCTATGCCATCGGCCTGAAATATATCAGTCGATCCCTACTTCTAACCAATGCAATATGCACTCATGTTACACAAGCACCACCTAGGAGTATGTTTTGCAGCCTGCTTAACTATCATTGCAAAATGATCGGTATTTAAATATATACTGCTCAAAAAAAAAAAAAAAAAGGGAACACTTAAACAACACAATGTAACTCCAATTAAATCACACTTCTGTGCAGGACCTCCATGTGCTCGCCAGAGGTAGCCTGACTGCCATTAGGTACAGAGATGAGATCCTCAGACCCCTTGTGAGACCATATGCTGGTGCGGTTGGCCCTAATGCAAGACAATGCTAGACCTCATGTGGCTGGAGTGTGTCAGCAGTTCCTGCAAGACGAAGGCATTGATGCTATGGACTAGCCCACCCGTTCCATCAACCATCGGTTTATTTGCCAAGAAGATTTAACAAAGTCTTAGTTCTTAAGACAACATTCCTACCAGTGATAATTTATTTGTGCCATCTATGCATGTGTGCTCCATTCCACTTCCCAACCAAGAAAGAAAGGTATAAAAGCCCATGATAATGCCATAAACTTTAAAACCAGTCAAATGCAATGATGTGTCTAGAGATTACATGGTTGTATGCTTTAACGTGTATTCTAATTGGTCAACAACTTATGACGATATAGAATATCAAGAAAGTCATGTCTCTAAAGGAACCAGGCCTCCATTTAAGACACAAACAGCAAAAACATTTTCATACCATGGAAACTTCTGTAGTGCAGGACTTGACAAATTTGTTAAGAACCTAGGAGCCAGCTAAAAAAAGTTCGGAGCCTGTTTTTTTGAAAAATAAGTTTTAGGTTTAATTTTCAAGGAGAAAAATGCAATTCTTAAAGGGACACTGTAGGCACCCAGACCATTTAGGCTCATTGAAGTGGTCTGTGTGCAATGTCCCTACAGTGGTGGGCGGAGCTTGACCAAGCACTGAAGGACACTGGCACTAGATTCAGTGCTACAGGAGAGGGCACTGTAGGAATCTTTAGTGCCAGGAAAGAGGCTTTGTGCTCCTGGCACTACAGAATCCCTTCAATGGACACTCTAGACACCAGAACCACTACAGCTTAATGTAGTTCTGGGGTCTATAGCCTATACCTGCAGACCTTTCAATGCAAACACTGCCTTTTCAGAGAAAGTCTAGTAACAGTCATTTAGATGGCCATTAGAGAGTACTTGGTCAGTGCAGCACCTATGTTCTGCATCGCCACACTTTGTATGGAAATGATAGATGTTACCCATAGAGATGCATTGATTTAATGCATCTTTATGAGGATATGCTGATTGCCACATTGTTTTTCTGCACAAGCGCAATATCCTTACTAAACGGAGATCATAAAGACTGATTATTTCAGCCATGGAGGCAAGACCAGCCATGACGAAACTGGCATGGGATGGGAAGAAAGGCGAGTAAAAACACCTTGTGTGCGCAATTGGAGGTTGGACCTAAACAGACACAGATACACACTCCCTGACAGACACAAACGAAGATTTTTATTTTATTTTAATTGAAATCCACCCAGCATCGCTACCTTTGGGAGAGCCAAGTGGTTCTTTCCGTAGGGTCCAGTGGGGCTGCTCTGTCTTCCTGAGCACGAGGGAGCAGTAATCTACCTGCAGCGTTCCCAGAGTGACGTCATATTCTGTCTCCCGGCATCATTAAACAGCGCGAAGGAGCAGAGAGGAGCTGCAGGCAGATTACTGCCACTCCGGGCAGCCGGCTCCCATGCCACATGACGCGTTTCACCCAGAATGGTCTTCTTCAGAAGTGTGGACATTCTAAAGAAGTCCAATCTGGGTGAAACATGCCAAGTGGGGACTGGAGCACTTTAGCTTTATGCTACATTTTTTATTAATACAGTTATCTGCTATTTAATAATCCCTATTATTATTATTTTACCCTGCTGCTGTTTTACTGCACTGAATCCTGCACATCCCAGATGGGGATTGTACCACCATAAGCATAAAATTGTAACTAGGATATCTGCTTTTTTTTTTTTTTTAAATATATCTAATATTGCTTACAATATACTGTGACATTGCTTCTTTTACTTTGATTCCTCCCTACATGGTTGTTGAAAATTGGATACCTAATACAAGGAATAAGCTAATCAGCAGAGCTCTTTGTAGCTCTAGAGAGTGTGAGTGAGTCTTCTATTGGGTTTTAAAACTCATGTGACATATTGCACTATTATCTTATCCTATTCGGTTTTATTTTGAGGTTACCATATACCAGCATAATATTGGACCTCTAAGTGTATGCATATAGGTTTTTTTTTTTAAAACATTGTTTTTTCTTATACATTATCTTTTGGCGCGGTTTAACACATTTCTTTCCCCAACAAGTCTAAAACATAGGGACAGTACTCTAGAGAATCTAGACAACAGAACTACTAAACTTATAGTTTGAATGTAACCGCTTGGGCCTGATTGCCCAGTGCTCACATCCTTCAAGAACCCATCAGCTTTTTGCCACGTGCACACTCATCCAATCACTGCTATCCATGAGCAAATTTACATGGCATATTCCCAACACAACTCAGGAGACAGCCTCTGGATGCAGTGGATAACATTTATTTTGTCAAAACATTTCTAAATAGTTTGCCATTAAACCATGTGCCTATAGACTCTAAACATTATGAGCATTACATTGAGCTCTAGTGGGTTTGTTGCTTAGCAGATCCTTTCAATTGCTGCCTGGGAACAATGAAGTGGAATTTGGCTATTTGTACCTAAATGTGATGTGACTGGGTGTTGTAAGTGATATGTGTACCACATGTGGTGGGTGCCATTGGTAATGCTAGGGATCAATGGTTGTTTATGCAATAATATTGCCATATTTGTCTTTGGAAAAGACATTACATTATTGAAAATCGGGTCTTATAAGCAATTGTGATAACTGATTGGGAGGAGAACGATCAATGTGTTTGCCACTTGGTTACTAATGGGCGATGATATGAATGCCATTAGGATGTGTTATGGGTGCACCTGTGTTGCCATAGAGTTGACTAGGGTGACATTTGAATTTGGTGATGTTAATGGCTAATTGCTGCTGTGTACTATGTAGGTATGGTAGGTACCGGTTCAAAGTGTATGTGTAAGGCTGCCAGACTGGCATATTATATTGTTCATATTAATGCTTCATGTTGTTGGAGGAGCATAAAAATATAATATTTATCATGCACATTCAATAGCAGTAAAATCAATTCATCATGGCAGTTACTTTAGGACAAATGCAATAACACGTGAACTCCTGTAGCATACAGACAGAGTTGATCCTGGTACTGAAGTTATGGTATGATTGTTAGAAAATGAGTGAAGAGTGACTGACTAGCAGGGAAATGATACAAGGGAATAAGAAACCAAGCGGTGTAATTATCTGCGTTTTAACCATTTTAGGCTAGCATAAAAGGTAGATGGGCCCTGGAGTAAGGTTTGTGAGGGCGCTGGGATTTGATCCACCTCCAGTCGCAAACCTTTTTGAGCGTTTACTCCTTAGTTTAAATATTACATTGTGTGCGTCTGTGTATAGATTTATGGCTGGGCATTGATCAAATCAATGTGTACTATTATATGAGGTTTTGGTGTGTGCAACCCATGCAGAGATTAACATAATTGGCAGCACTCAAAAGGACTTCCATTAAACCCCCCCCCCAAAAAACACACTTTACTTATACATATCCAAAAAAATAAATAAAAAATCAACGTTTCGACCCTATAGGACCATTATAAAGGCCAAATTATGAAGACTGATGTTTCGATCCTACAGGGAACTTCAATTTTTGTTGGACATGAATTAACAAAGACTTTGTTATTTTTATTATCATTTGGAAGTCCTTTGAGTGCTACCAAGTGTGTGTGTGTGTGTGTATATATATATATACACACACAAATATATATATGAATATAAATCTGGATTAATGACTTTAAAAGGGGGGGGGGGGGTGTAATAGCAAATCCAATAGTAAGGTACTATACACGCTGTGGCCCTAGTTGAGCTGAGGCAGTGTGCGATATAATTGGTCACATTATCCCACACTCGCTCTGTGGCCCACACATGGCCCCGGCAGTGAATGCAGTGGTGCTGGTGGTTTAGTGAATAAGGCCCGGGCGGGTTGCGGAGTGTATCCCGCATGCTGTGACCCGGCCGAGCAGCCATTGTGCCCGGTGCCGCCCGGTCCATCCCAGTGGGAGATTCCCCGCCAGTTCCCGCATCGTGTAATGACCTCCCCCCGGTCACCCCGCCCAGTGTCTGCTCCGCGATCCACTCCCGCTCCCAGCACACCCGCCGCCCGGCCCGGCAACAACCCCGTCCGCCCCGACCCGCCGGGTTACCCCACTCACCGTCATAGTAATAGCACACTTTCTTCTTTGTTCCCTGACTGAACGCCATTTTCCTTCCGTGGCCGAGAATCCACTACAGCAAACCGGTCTACAGTCACACAGAATGAGTCACGGCGCAGCCAATCACAGCACGGAGCTGCCGTCCAACTACAAGACGGACAGCTCGCTGGCCAACCAGTTAAGAGTGGGCGGGGCAATAATGCATGGATATGGTCGAAACCAATACTAATGAGGGGGAGCTCAACGGCCCACCGTTTGGGAATTATTTGTCTTTGATATACAGTATCGCCCATTAAATTAGGAAAGATGTTACAATCAATGTGGACACTGGTATGGTGGCGTTTTGAACTTAGCAGTTATGACTAGTGAAATTGTCTTGTAGCTTTCCGGGTTTTACCGCTTTAAGAGTATAACTATGTATTACAATAATGGACGAGACCATTCGGTGTGGTTTGCCTAGCGTCGGGGGTGGCATGCTCGTGTCCCAAATTAAAGTCTTTTTTTTATAATGATTATTTTAACTTCCGGATCCTCTTTGTTACAGGAAGGGGTTCAACAAATAATACATTTTTGTATAACAAGACAACGAGGTTTAATAAATACATCAGTGTGTTTTGTGTGTGTGGATTTTTTTGTGGCAGTAGCATGTGCAATTTATTGTAACCATTGATAAAGTCTACCTGCCAATCAATGTAACCAGTTATAAAAATCTCTTGATTTTTATGGGGTTTTTTTTAATCAACATGTTGCAATAATATTTCCAGGTTACAATTATAAACCAGTATCTCTACATGGCACAGTATATACTCATTTAAAGGGCAAATACGTGCAAGAATGATTGGAGTCATACAGACAGGGTCAGATTTACTTTCTAGTGATCTGCTGCTACCCTCCAATGCTGGGTTCTACATATAGCATGATTAGAAACTGGAAGGGCCCATTACACCTAGGATTGGCCTGTCTCTTATCATTTTCCCCTTGATCCATGGGATGAATTCCTTGTGCCCCATGGCCCAAAGGACTGGTTGTAGCCAATTGCTTTTCCAATAGATTTATCTGTGCCTCAGCATGCTTGTAAAGATAGCTTTTACATCATTTGACTTTCCAGTGTTTTTTTGATTTTTAAATTCTTTATTTATGGACAGCCAAAAGGACAAGGAATGTACACAGGCATAAGATCAGTTACATATCAAGCATGAATTGGCCACAGTATTACTCAATGTATGGTAGGTAGTGATTACATTGGTGCAGAAAGAAAAACTGAAAACAGTTTTGGCAATTGCATTCCCCTTCCCGTAAGGTATGAGCTGCAAGGCTGTCTGTTTTTGTATATTTAAAGTCAAAATAACAAGAACAAAGTAAAGCAAAACATATATCAATACAATTTTTAAACAGCGTCAGTTGTGCCAAGAAGTGTGCTGTAATCGGTAACTGAGGAATCCACGTTCCATGCGCCTGTGTTCCACCGCAAGGCCAACAACCCCCTCTCTTCCAGTAGTACTCTAGTCCCCCAAGTCGGTCCAGGGAGCCAATATTTTTCCAAGGATTGTGTGGTGTTATGTTGGATCGTTGTAAGTTTGTTCATTAGGTAATTTTCCTTAATCCTCTCTATTACCCCTGTCATGCTTGGTGTGATGGGTTCTAGCCAGTGGCGTACACACGATCCATGGGGCCCTGGTGCGAAAACTGATCCGTGGGCTCCTCCCGGTGCTTACACTGTGGGGGCCAGGGCCACAACACATGGCAGCGGGCACCTGGTCGCAGGGCTGCGACCGCGGCATGTACGCCAGTGCATGCAGATACACATACACTTAAAAGACCACTATAGGAACCCAGTCCACTTCAGCTCAATGAAGTGGCCTGGGTGCCAGGTTCCTCTAGTTTTAACCCTGTAGCTGAAAACATAGCCGTTTCAGAGAAACGGCTATGTTTCACTGAGGGTTAATCCAGCCTCTAGTAGCTGTCTCAATGACAGCCGCTAGAGGCGCTTACGAGATACTCACTGTGAAAATCACAGTGAGAAAACGCTGGACGTCCATAGGAAAGCATTAAGTAATGCTTTCCTATGGGCGGTTTGAATGCACGTCAAGTCACATGATCTATTATTGCGACACTCGATTTGCTTACAGGGAAACTATAGTGCCAGGAAAACAAACATATAGATTTCCCCTCTTTCAGGGCCCCCTCCCGCAGCGCTATGGGGGTTAATAACCCCTTCTGTCACTTACCTGGGTCCAGCGCCGATGTCCCTTAGCGTTGGCTCAGCTACGGCCACGCTCCACCCCCACCGACATCTGCCGGCAGGGGAGACCTAATGCACATGCGTGGCAATGACCACACCCCCATTAGGATCTCCCCGTAGGAAAGCATTATTCAATGCTTTCCTATGGGGAAAATCTGATGCTGGAGGTCCTCATGCAGAGTGTGAGGACGTCTAATGTCAGATAACGAACCAAAAGTGAGTTTCAATTCCAGAAGTCCCTTTAGTGGCTGTCTGGTAGACATTATACAGTGCAAAAATAAAAAACACTGCTTAGTCAAAAATGTATATGTTCTCCACAGATGGTGAGACAAAAGTCACTTTGTTTGGCATGTCAATATTGCAATAATACTTTCAGCAAGGTGTTGTGTTTGACTGATTTCTGAACCAAACACAGGGTGATATGAAGCAGAAGTTTGTTTAGTTCATGTGGCCTAGTAAATGTAATATTAAATACACAAGGCTGGATTTTCCACAAGCTGGATTTTTTTAGCAGATTAAGGCCTCTACTTAAAATTTTTTAAACGCTTTCCAAATATTTCATATATTTGTATAAACATTTAAAAATGATTTAATATTATGAAACAGTTTAATTTTGTAGTATTCTGCATTTTTTTGATACATTGATATTTTTAGTATTTGAATATTTTGAAAAATAATAATTTTAAAATCATTTGGAAAGCCTATCCAATAATATTAAATTGAGGCCTAAGTGTTTATTCTACTTACTGATTAAGAGTTCCTCCATGGAAGCATTTCCTAATAAACCCAGCCCAACTAAGGGAGTATACATTAAATCAGTTTTTAGTAGAACGCTTTAAAATGGATTTTGTTTTTTTATCTTTTATAACCATTAAAACATATGTTATAAAAAGCTATACTAGATTTTTTTGTAGGGATCGATCCCCGACCCCCTCAGATACTACAACCATGTATGTAAATCTAGGGGGGGGGGGGAGTGGCTATTCAGTAAGCAGAGTGAAACCTTACTCTGCAAAGAGAATCCACCCCACCATGTTTATTTATAATTATTGTCAAATGAGTCTCTATTAAATTCTAATAATCCATGATTAATATACTGGAACAGTAGACGAAGAGGGCCCTGCCCAAACAAGTTTGCATACTAAAAGCCAGCTTGTATATATGAAAATGGAGTTGGGAGAGATGAATTACTAAATTACCACCTATTAAAATATGTAAATGGAGTTGAGGGAAGATGAATGGGTAGTTTATAATGTGTGCAAACATGGCAGAGGGAGATGGCCACCTCAATTGTTATGAAAATAGGATTGGGGAAAATGAATGCTCACCTCATATTGTATGGAAATAAGGTTCAAGTGGATGAATGGCAACCCAGTAATGTATATAGAGAGGTAGAAGTGTAAAGGAAAAGAGCACACAACTATTCACATGCAAAAAACACAACAGTAAAGGACCACATCAAGCACCATAAGCGCACACTGTAGAAGTGATTATGGTGGCAAGAACTCACTGATGCCATGTTAGTGTAAGTTGTACAACCAGTTTAAACAGTTTGATAATAAATTCCCTCGGTACTGCCAGATGCCTATGGCCAGGGGTCAAGTCCTGTTGTGAAAAGAAAGTGTGGGAATCCACCCTGCCCCCAAAATATGTGTATGCCTGCATGACCCCCCTTTATGTGCCCTACAGCGCTGGTGACAGGTTCAATTAGCAGCTCCGTCTGTTACGAAGTGAATCACTAACATAGCGGTTCGCTCGTAACAGAGCTGCAATGACTTTTTTTGTGGCTCCCCACTACCAGCTAAGCTGAAATAGGGGCCAAGATGGAGAAAATAAGTGTCTGTTGGGGTGATGTGTGTGTTGGGGGTTGTGTACAGTGTGTGAGATGTACTGTGTTTGTGTTTGGGGATATACTGTGAGTAAAGTCTGTGAGGGCGTACTGTGTTGGTGGGGTGTACTTTGCAGGGTGGTATGGTGTGTGTGTGTGAGGGGGTGTAGTGTCCTGTGGGTGTACTGTGGAGAGGTGTACTGTGTGTGGGGGCGTGTATTGTGTGTATCTCATGGTGTGTGTGAGGGGGTGTACTGTCCTGTGGGTGTACTGTGGAGAGGTGTACTGTGTGTGGGGTGTAGGAAATCGGATACGGAAGAGATTAACTATTTTTATTTTAATAAAATTTTAATTTTATTAGAAAAATATGTATATTCCGTCCTCCCTGTTTTTACATTGCAGGAAGGGGGGCATTCAGATCCCTGATGGTCCAGTGGTGGAAAACTAGATGAACGCCGTTACCATTTGGCACATGCACCTGGAGGACCCGTGTAAGTTGTCAAACCATTCTAAAATGTTAACATATCACACTGGGATGATGCCAGGGTACAGTGAGCTGTAGCGATTATTGTTCTTGGAGAGTTCCTTTAATAAATATGTATGCACAACACCTGTACATTATTATTATTTATATAGCACCAGCAAATTCCATAGCGCTGTGCAATGTGTGGACTAACAGACACATAATTGTAATCAGACAAATGGATGCACAGGAGCAGAGCGTCAGGGTAAATCCCAGGCCATCCAGACATGGCTATTCCACAAGTGCCAAACATGGAATTTGATCCTAGATCTTTCGATGTCCTGGGCCTGCTATACTGCCTCTGAGCCACAGCAGATTTTATTATTTTCAGTAGTTTTATCCAGTAGTGGGATTCAAACATTTCAGTAACCAGTTCCTGACTTTTCACAAGTTTCCAACTCCACCAGACCACCTCCAGTCATGCACGCACACACTCACTCACTCACTCACTCATAAGCACATCGATACAGTCACACATATACACCATGGGGGGCAAGGGAATGCTATTAATGTATTAAATGCATAAACCTTGTATTTTAAGTCAGTGTGCAGTAAATGCATAAACCTTGTATATAGTGCTAATGAGCAGTAAACGTATAAACCTTATATACCATGCCAATGATCAGTAAATGTATAAACCTTGTATACCATGCCAATGATCAGTAAATGTATAAACCTTGTATACCATGCCAATGATCAGTAAATGTATAAACCTTGTATACCATGACAATTAGTAATAAATATATAAACTTATTATCCCATGCTAATAAAAAGTAAATGCATAAACTTAGTATGTCATGCTAATGAAGCAATAAATACATAAACTAGGTATACCACGCCAATAAAAAGTTAATGCACAAACTTTGTATATTATGACAATGAGCAGTAAAAGTCCTG